CCTAAGACACATGTCCTCTCAGACTTTCTCATAACCTTCACTGGCTTTCTATTTCTCAATGTATTCAGTTTAAAGTCCTCCATAACCCAGCCCCCTCCAACTTTTCTTCTCCTTTGCATTCTGCCTGGTTGGCTGCATTACTCTGACTCCAAACTGAATACTCGGCGATCAGCCGATATTTACATGTGAAACCAATCTTATTCACTGATCATATCTACCTCCGCAAAGGTCTCAAAATTTGAAAAAGGAAAGACTAAAGGAAGTGATTTTTTAAGTTTAGTTTAGTTAATTTAGTAGTTTGGAACAGCAATGTTCTAAACTTTTCATTTATATTTGAGAGCACTACCTCATGTGCAGTTAAAACAAGTTTGTATTGTTTCACAGGTATTGTTCAGTGTTTTCAATAAAATAAGATTGGAACATCGAAGGTATATTGCAACCTTAGTACACCTGACAGTCAGTTATAAAAAAATAATGGCTTTTTAAAGATCGTGATTGGCCTAGAAACCGCAATCTGTGTACTCCTACCTTAAAACATTATTAACTAAATTGACTAAAAGTGTAACTTTTATCAACGTTTCTGGTTTCTGGTCTCCCTCTAAAGTGCTGGGGAGAGAAAACAAAACACAAGAAAAAGGAATTCAATGGAGGAAAACCCTCTGGTCTATCAGCTTCTCAGGCAAGAGCACCACCTTTTCAAAAGATTCACCATGCCTTACTGACAGACGAAGTCATTCTGCTCAAAAATGTCATAATGAAATAAAAAGGCTTTTTGTATAAATTCAGATATTTCACCATTTTTATTGTCACATGATATACTTATCTATTATTTATTTATGTAGATACTTCAGAAGGTTTTATTTATTTGTTTAATTTTGAGAAATTTGGCAATCCACAGTTGTTTGGCCTGAAGGTCAATCTGTGTCTGAGGGAAGCAGTGTCTGTCTTATGTGGCCCAGGTTATTGGACATTTTCACACTCACTCTGGAACTGAATTATTAATATGGCAAAAAGTAAACCTTGGTGGCCAGGAAGAAGGAAAAAACCGACAGGAATTTTAAACAGAATCACTTGAATGTAGCAATGTATAAATATAACTGGGTGGGTCAGGCCTGGTTCTGACTGATTGGTGGGAACGTATTCATAGATTGTTTTGTGTCTTTTATGTCTTTTCCTTGTCTGTCTTCACTTTTCTGAGTCAGGACTCCTAAAGAGGGTATGCAGCATCTAGGAGACAAAGACATCATTAGGCCTGATCAGCCAATCAGAAATACAGTATTGCTATTTATTATTTTTAATTTTTCTTTACTGGATTCTTTAGGCTCAGAAAGTGTATAAACAGCCTGTAGGTAAGATACTCCTGCTGGAGCTGCTTCCATTTAATGTTACCAACATGGAATCTTTTAAGGAATTAAATAGGGAGACGCAGATAGTCCAACACATTAGTCCTTATTTAAAGTTACGAATCCTGAATCATTTATGGATTATTTTAAAAGATTGTCAGTTTTTGAGGTTTTTTGTACATTTTTTTTGCAGAATCATATGGAAGACTTTGAATGTAAAATGCAAAGGGTTTTATTACAATAAGGAGAAGTTAGATTTGGCGAGAGATAATGATGGAGAATAAATATGGGAGAAAGACTGAAATGAGGGGGTGCACTGGCACAGAATGGAAGAACAGAGTTGAGGGATGAATGATGATCCTGGTGGTGGGGTATGGAAGGAGGACGTCTCAATTAAGATTTGTATTCCAGATGTGATTCTGTTTGAGTCCAGCGATCCAGGAAGCAGGCGAATAGAGTTGGAGAATGGGCAGGCAGATGACGATTAGAGACAGCGATGCTGCAGTGAATAATCGTGGCGTGAATTAGGTTCCAAAGTAGGTTTCTGCCCAAAGTAGGTTTGTCCAAGGAAATCAGAGTTGACGTGGCGACGCTTTAGTGTTAGTGAAGCTAATATTTTAGTTAGTGGAATATGGATTAGGGAAGCTAACTTTATTTTTGGAACATTACCTGCAGGATAACAGGTTCATATGACCAGATCAAAAGTTGTGGTGAAGGAAAGCCTTGGTTGAAGTAACTAAAAGTGTGTCAAATGTCAGCTTTGAAGTTCCTATGCACCACATACTTGTAATTGTTGAATATATATATATTTTTTTACCTTACACAACTTGAGTCAAACTAAGGGACAAATGCAATAGGTTAAAATTATGTACTGAAAGGATGAGAAAGGAAAGGTTCACCCCTGCTCTTTAGTCATAACCATATTGCTTAATGAGTTATGTTCATTTTAAAGCTGGTATATAGTTGAGTCTTCTTTGTTTTGTTAGTTTAAATTTGTTTGCCAAAAAAAATCACTGTGGAGTGTAAAAACCATAACCTACTGTTATGGTCTTTACGCAAAAAGATCTAAAATGATCAGATCTCAGGAACCTGAAATAGGTACCACAAAGGTAAAGCTTGATCTGTGCACTTTTACTCTGCTGTTTTATTTAGAACTCACAGTGCTGAAACACATAATAGCATTTCAAACTATTTACATCCATCATCGGACCACCTGCAAAGCATTTCTGCCTGACTCATCTTTGATGTCAGCATGTGCCTGACTGCAGCTGGAAGCCACCCATCACCCGCTTCTATAACAAACTGAATCAGCCAATAAAATTGTTATTGGGCTGGCCCAGTCTGTTCCCCTCCATGAGTTTGGCTTTACTTCTGTTAGACGTAGTCTGGGTGTGATGCTGGAGCTCACACATTGGAATAAAAATAGCCACTTTTTACCTGATTCTGCAGGCTGGACTTTGTTGTGCAGCAGTGCATTGCTGTAGTAAAACACCTTCTTTGGTTAGAAGGATATGATCAGGTAACAGATATTAATTGTTTTTTCCCCAAAATATTTCCACAAAGTAAATGTGGGCCACAAAGGAACCTGCTCAAGAGCCCCAGATCCCCAGAGACCCTTGATTAGTTACGGGGTTCAGCTGTTTTCCATTAAATCACATCTCCATTGATGATTATATTGAACCGCTTCATTCCTTTCATTGTTCTCTCTAATGACCAATTATAATACATAAAATTTCGCTGGTTGAGTGTGTGTGTGCGTGTGTGTGTGTTGTTTTGGACATGTGTGCAACACAAAGTGAATTAAAAAGTTTACAAACATTTTTACAAATAAAAATCTGAATTTGTCTTGTTTCTCCTGGAGTCAATACTCTGTAGAACCACCTTTTGCTAAAATTGCGGCTCCTAATTTCTAGCAGCTTTACACATAAAGAGGCTGAACCATTTTTCCCCATTTGTCTTTGCTCAGTCGTCTTCGATTTTCAATTTTCAAGTTGCGTCACAGATTCTGCATTGGACTTTGTTGTGCAACTTGACTGGCATTCTAACACATGCAAGTTATTTGATCTAAACCATATGATTGCAGCTGTGGTTTAAGGCTGATGTCTTGCTGGAAGGTGAAGCTCCTCCCAGTCTCAATAATTGCAGCCTCTAATGGGTATTCTTCCTGGATTGTTCTGTATTTAGCTCCATCCATCTTCTCTGTCCCATCTAATGAAAACTATCCCCACAGCATAATACTGCCATTACCATGTTTCATGGTAGGACTGTTTAGTGTGATGTGCACTGTGAGTTTTCCATAACACAAAGGATTTTGCATAAACTCCAACAGGTAATTTTAGCTACTTCTGGTCAGAAAGAAATATAGATAGATGGATGGATGGATGGATGTGACGGAGCACTGCTGCCCCTCCCGCTGATGGAACGCACACATGTGTAGCGTGGCCCGGCCCAGGTGTGGCGGCTTGAGTAAAAGTGGGCATAATACTTCCGTTTTTCCTATAAAGGAAGTCAGTGTTTTTCCACTAGTAAGTTTAATTGTAAATTATTTTTAACTAAAGAAAAACAAGAGTTTCAGAATGAAAGCAGGAAATGAATATTGACTGTTTTCTTGTGACATCAGTGTTCTGGTTTTTTTTGTAGTAAAATAAATGATTAATTGTTGGCTGATTTGATTGTGGGGCGGAGCTTAGGGTTTATAAGAAGAGCTTCTGGCCCTGCTGGAGTCAGTCTGGCCTGGTTACAGAGGAGTTAATATTGATGTGCAGCACTAAGAGAAACACTTTGTAGAAATACAAAGAATTGTAAATATTATGTATATATACAATTTTTTTTTCTGCTACTCTGCACTTATTTTGGGAGGTTGCAAGTAAAATCATCGCCTTCAGGCATTGACATGCCCTCCGTGATTTCTTCCTCTTTTTGGAGTCAAGTTTATGGTGCCTGGGTCTATCACATGGGCTGCTAGCAAGAACCCCGTGACAATGGATGATAGGTAGTTAGGTAGGGTTGTGATTATGAATATGAAAATATCATTTAATATTAATACTATAATATTAAGTAAATAATATTTCAGTATGTTAAGGGTTTTCCTGTGAATAACAGCCCAATAAGGCAGTGGTATTAGGACTAAATTGAAAGGGATGAGCCAAGCTCTGGCATTATTGAACAGCAAAACTCTGCACACACACAGAATCAATTCACACAATTTCTTAAAATACAAGAATTTATTAACAAAAACAGATCAACTCAAAGTCAAACATATTTCAATCAACAAACTCTTTACCATGCTAAAACAATCCAACTAAACTACCAAGCAGAATCAAAGAATAAGGAAGACTAATGGGCTATGTACAATATAAAGAAGTGATTTAAAAGATTCATATATTTCTATACCGCTTATTCCACAGTGGGTCACGGGGGAGCTGGTACCTATCTCTAGCAGTCTATGGGTGGGAGGCAGGGTACACCCTGGACAGGTCGCCAATCCATCGCGGGGCAACACAGAGACATACAACCACGCACACACTCTTTCACACCTAAGGGCAATTTAGAAAGACCAATTGATCTAACAGGCATGTTTTTGGACTGTGGGAGGAAGACGGAGTACCTGGTGAGAACCCACGCAGCCACAGAGAGAACATGCAAACTCCATGCGAAAGACCCCCAGCCGGGAGTTGAACCCTGGAACTTTAAGCTGTAAGGCAACAGTGCTACCAATTGCACCACCGTGCCTCCCACGACATTTTGATTATTTAACTCTCTAATCTTCTCTGCTCAAATACTACCTCTTATGTGAACCCTGCTGAGGAGAAGTTGTTCGGGGAGACAAAGTTGAGGAAAGCATCCACGGTGAACAAAGAGTTAACTTGCATCTAACCTCCGTAGCTGTGGGAAAGGGGCGGATCGTTCTGCTGGCCAGGGCCGAACTGCACGCAAAGCGGCGTACCGGGTTGTGGTACCTTTGTCCTTCCTTCAGACCGGGAAAATTGCTGCAGCGTTGTAGAGACAGGGTTTCTGCAGGGAACTCTCTGGAACACGGTTTGCTTCTGTTGACCTCAGAAAGAAAAGTCAAGCCACGCTTGCACCTTAATTACCCCCGTTCATGAATGAATGAATACCGGATACACAAACAGCAATTCATTCCTACTTAACTTAGTGCATATGATCGCGTGATCATATGACACTCTTGGATCCAGTTTGAAGAGTTATGTCTGTTTGCCAGCAAAGAGACATTAGCGCCCTGTGTCGCTCCTTCCAGCTCCTCTGGGGACCTGCGTGGAAGAGATCTGTTTGTTGGAACACGGGGTTTTTATTCAAACAGTGACGTCACGGGATGTCCGCTGTTACCCTCTTGTTCCTGTTCCTGGCTGTTCTGGAAGTAGGTTAATGTGACTTATTTTGAAAGTTCCAGAAAAGGTCTTACTGGCCTTTAATGTTGTAACTCATGGCTGGGTCCCAACAGCAGGTAGGTAGGTAGGTAGATGGGTGGGCGGGTGTAAAGGTAGGTAGGTAGTTAGATAGATAGATAAATAGATAGATATTATACTTTGCCTGGATCTTTCTGCTACATACTTTAAAATGTACAGTATGTAAATGCCTGCAATTCCCTTCATCACTGCACGTGATGCCAAAGTGAAGCAGGGATTTGCAAAGTGTACCAGAAAATGTGTTTTTATTGGTTCCTTTAAGTGTTGTAGTTAATGGAAGAAAATTGTAGCCATCTGTGATTACTCCAAATGAGGCAAACTGTTGTAATCTAAGTCAAATGTAAGGCTTAAAAAACAGAGAGCATGTAAAAACGTTTAATCACTGAGTTTTGCTCATTCCACACATAAACTTTTAATATTAAACATGACAGAAAATCTAATGGAAATGATTTCCTTAGACTGCATGTTACCTATTTTAAGTTTGAGTTTTGTTTGCCTGGCTAAATTGAATTTGTGTGACATACCAGGAACAGACCTGTTCTTGGAAACAACTACATTTTAAAAGACAGATGCTGAACAAATGGCTTTGTCAGCCATACAGGAATTGATGCCAGCAGCTAATTTATAAAGGCATTTCATGTTTTATATTTTTACTCATTGATAAATTGTTATAAATGTACATCTGTCATCCATGGATTTACCCCAAAATTCAACAAATTGTTAAAACAAAAGAAAAGCTATCAAAAAGAGAACTTATACAAGGAGAAAACTGAGTTCAGGTCATCCTTCCTATAAATACTCATTAAATTCATTCAGACTTACAGGGCTGTTTCTTGAAACTTACAAGATATACAGTAGTACTTTCTGGAATTCACATTGTTCTTTTCGAGACCACTCTGTTTACATTCTGAGGTAACTACGAGGTAGTTTTGGGAACTTACAGGGCACATTTCAGTACCTGATTGATTTATGAAGTGACTTGCAACCTGGTACATTCTGAAACTAAAGATTATTTTCTGGAATTTACAAGTTAATTTTAATTACATTTTCAGAACTTTCAAATTGCTTTTGAAAATATACAGGTTATTTTCCCCTAAGCTACTGAACAGTTTCCCAAACTTACAACTTTCTTTTAGGGGCAAGGCTGTGTAACCTAGTACTCAGGCTACTTTTGCTAAAGCTACAGGTTACTTTCCAATATGTACAGGTATTATCAAGTGATTTACAAACCAGTACTTACTGAAACTTACAGGTTACTTTCTTGTCTGGATTCATTTGGTGACCAGACTGAACTGGTCCAGGAACTGGATAATGATGTAAACTAGACATTGGCAGGTTCGGTTATATACAGACTACTTTATACAACTTACAGGTTATTTGTCATGACTTATATAGCGCCAATTCACAACACATGTCGTTTCAAGGCACTTAACAAAGTCAATTCAATCGAATCATACAGATTTCAAGACAGCTTCATACATTCCAATTAACCTTAACCATCAAACAGTGCTGTCAGATTCAGTTTGGCATTCAAATTGGTTAAAAGTGTTTCTATCTAAGGAAACCCAGCAGATTGCATCGAGTCAGTGACTTGCAGCATTCACTCCTCCTGGATGAGCATGTAACGACAGACCTGTACTTACCTGTACTTATCAGACCAAAAAGCTTACTTAACCATCAGGAAAATTCAACTGCAGTAGCCACCCTCCAACCCAAAGAGGTTAGTGCTAAGACGATCGATTTTAGGTCAGATATTGCAGAATTAAACAAGTTTACACGACAATGTCAAAATTTGCATATTAACATAAAGATAGAACCCTTAAGGCCCAGTTTATGCAGTTTATCTGCAAAAGAAAAGTTAATTTGGGGTTTAGCTACTCTTTAAGTTATGGAATATAATATGATATTGTTTTATCTTTAAGTTTTAGGAAACCAAGCTGTATATTCCGCAAAATCATAAATCCCAAAAAGTACAGGCAGGAATATACATCGCTGCCAGTATTTCACAGGAAACTTCCTAAAGTCTGACTTTTGGTATATTTGTAAGCTTTGAAAAGGTAAGCTAAGCAATTAGCATGATTTATTATAGAAACATATCTTACAAGTTTGTCATGCTTTATTAGCATATTTTTTGTATTCATTTTTTTTGTACAAATTGATCATAAGAAAAACGAAAAGACAAAGAAAAATGAACAACAGTAAGGCACAAAAATATACATATAAAGATATTTGTAAAAAGAGAGTCAGTGGTTCCTACAAATATATAAACATTCATATACACATATAAAAAACATAAGTAAACAGAAATAAACTATTTGGCCAGTCCAAGTCACAAGTCCGTGAAAATTGAAAATGTCCAAAAAGAATGCACACTACTGCGTGAAGTTAAGCACACATTTTGTTTGTTTTAAAAGTCTTAGTCCTGTGGGTCCTTTTGAAAAATGCATAGCTCTGATCCAAGTGCATCATCGAGCATCCATTCAATCTTACAAGAAACTTGCTCCAAAAAAGGACACTGTTCAAACACTGTGCAACACAAATACTGTTCATTCATTCCTGTGGAGCAGAAGGACCTCTAAATCTGTCTGAAGCTGTTTTTACTTGCAGACTCCCTCCAGGTGGGACACCTCTGATAAAACCCACAGAATGCACTGAGGAAAACTCCCACAGACAGACTTGCACTGTAAGCAAGGACTCGTGTGAGTGAGTAAAATGGAGAAATCTGTATGTACTTAACATCCCAGCCCTGTGAATAGAATCCACAATTAATGAAATGAATTTGAATGATTGGCCTTTATATGAATGAAAACAACATATCCATGCGTAAAGGCAAAACAAAATGAAAATGCAGATGATGTGGATTTGATGAGGTGTGGAAACAGCCAAATCTGAAAGAATGTTTTGAAGGTCAGCTGCAACAGGAGTACATTCAGTGCAACTGAATTTTTGAGCTATGAGCTTGGGAATAGATGATAACTTCTGGATAACAGTGACCTTTCTGGCATCAGGACACGGCAACATCGTGCCTCGTTGCTATGACAACAACTACTGTCAGCTGAAACTCATTTTTTAGACCCTTTGGATAAACAGGGAAGATGATTCAGAAATGATGTAGGTGTTGCTAATGACAACGAATATTGCAGAGTGTTATTTAGATTTTTTAGTATAAACACAAAACAAAGTAGAGACAAAAAATTCTAGGGAGAGCAGTCTCCCCCGTGTTATTTGTTGGAATATCAAGTTTGGTTATAGAATAGGTATTCCATCCATAAATGGGTTAAAGTGGCTAATGTCTAATATTATTGCTATCAAATATTGGGTTGAAAACAAAGGTGCATTTTCATATGGTTTCTATGGCTCTTTGTTCATAGCGCCACTGTGTCAGGAGGACAGCAGGAGGAACCAAAAAAGAAAAGAATAACATCATTTGTTAGTTGCACCTCAAACAAGTTTTGTATTGCATATCGGGATGTCCACTCAAAGTGGAGTGGGAACTGTTTGTGTTAATTTTTAAATATTCTCAATTATTTTCTCTAAATATTAACGGCTTTGAGTCCAGCAGGTGGAAGGGTGGTTAGCAATCTTGACACACATGGAGAAGGTTGTGGGTTCAAATCTCAATTAAGGCCATTCTATGTGTAGTTTGCATATTCACCTCATGGATGTGTATGTTTTTACTCTAGTTTTTGATCACATTCCAAAGACATAATATTTTTGGGTTATTTTGTCCACTTTCAAAAATCTGGGGGGCGTGTCCACTGGAGGCGCTGAAACCTCACCCACGTGCAGGGGCGTTCCCACCTCCATGTCCTGTATGAGGAGACAATCCTTGTGTCCCAATTCAGGGGCTGGATCCTTCGAAGGCCGTATTTGTAGGCCGATTACGTCACAGCGCAGCGACAAAGGCTGTCCCAATAGGGACGGCTGTCCCAATAGGCGACGAAGGCTGTTCCATAGTTATAGTCCTGCACAAAAAACATTGTAGAAGTTCATTTGTGTCACAGAAAGTGTAATGTTCACAATTTAATCACAGCCTTTCCCGCTGTGGTCCGCCATGGCTGCCCCTGCTTGACCAATCCGATTCGACCCGCAATGAATCATGGGAAATGATGGACTGCAAAGGATACTTGCCTCGCCAGCCTTTACAGCGGTGAGGCAAGACCGTCCCAATCCACAGCTGTTCACTTCCGGTCGACCCAGCCCACATAGACCGGGTCCTTCGAAGAATCCAGCCCCTGAATTGGGACATACCCAATGTTCGTGAAGGCAGGCGGCACTTAGAATATTTATAACATAAGCACACAA